CCCCTGCAAACTGCACAGCTGGTATTGTTTTTGTGGTGTGTTGAAGCTGCAGATGACTACTCCCACATTATAAGGGTCTCCTTACTCCACAAGATCAGTCTACAGATACAGGGAGAAACAGAGATTGCCTTTTCACTCCTTTTGGCTGGGCTGGTACGACCTGCCTGTAGCTTAGGGGAGAAAGGAAGCGAGTCAAAGCATCAGCTCAAAACTCAAACACAAGCACCTAAGGAGAAATAACTGCAATCACTGCTTTGTTTTTTTCATTTCAGTACAACAACAGTTGTCACTGAACATAGCGATAAAGTTAAATAATTATTCTTAGCCGCATGAGAGGAATTTTTTGGAGCTCCTTTTCCCCTCCGTGTTCCTCCTGTAGGATCCAGTTTATCCTCACAAAAGCTTCAAGTGCTGACCATGAGGTTTTTCCTCATTAAAACACATCAGATTCCACATAAACTTTTACATTTTTGTCTATTTTAATCTCTCTTTTTATGATCCAAAACATTGCTCTCATGTCAGGAAGAATTTGTACAATTCATAGTAATTTCCACATTAGCATTAAAAATAACAACTTGGGCTTCTTCAAGCCACTGCTCTAAAGCAAACACTTCTTTAAGAAAAGATTGCCTACTAGTACATAAGCAATTAGCTGTACTCATTTTTTAAGACGTCTGTCTGTACTATGGATTTTAGAAAAATACTGGAGAAGGCAAGACTTTCTTGGAATTTTTTGATCCAAAGAGGTTTAGAAAAAGATCAAACAGAGACTAATTCATCATAAGAGATACTTGTATTTACACCTGTTCCTAGAGCTACTGAAATCCAGTCTGCTGTTCAACTAATGTTTGACAGTTTTTAGGTCCAATATTTAAAAGAACAGGAGTGTCAGGATTAGAAAATTATTTCTTGTTCTCAGTCTAAGATATCCTGAAGGTGCTTTTTTTTTTTTTTTACGTTGTTCTCAGATCCCAACCCTGCCTGGCAGAATTCACACTGTAACTACTTCAGATACTAGCAAAGTATTTAACATTGTATATACTACTTAACTTCTCTGTGGCTTGTCCTACCACTCTAAAATTAGTATCTCATAATAATTACCAATCTTCCTTCACAGAATTATTAAGAAGGTTAATTAATTAATGTTTCTAGCATGCCTGAGATTCTCAGATAAAAAGGCAGTACATACAAGAAGGGCTCTGAAGAAACTTTGAATTCACTGTCATTATCACAATTAAATCAAGGAGAAATTTTATATTATCCTCAGATTCTCTTTTCTTCAGTTCACTATTTTATTTTTTCCTACAACTTGCCATTTCCTGCAAAGTATCTTAACCGATTCAAAATTCCATCTTACAACTTGCTTTAGAAAAAAATGTAAATTGCATCCACCATACATTAATCAATTGTATCCAGGCAACATGGATGAGGTTAGATCATGTTTTTTCAATCACCCCCGAGCAAAGAGATGGACTCAGCACCTTTCGCCTCTTTCATCCCTGGAAGTAGCCATGTTAGACCAAATAAAGATGCATAGCAGCGTAATTGTTCCTTAACTCCTGACACCAGCCAGGTACCTCACCAGAGCCTGTTCACTGGGAACTGCAACTCACAACAACCCATATTAAACCTACCCTGATCTTCCTGCCACGGTAGTTAGGTACTTTGACATTCAGTCCCTAGTTTCTCCTGTCAATCATTTTGAATTAACAACAGGGTAACAAATTATCTTATTAAATATGGTCAGACAATTTTTAAAAAAAGAAAATAATATGTGGATTAAGGAAAAGGAAAAGAATAAATTCAACTGTACTATGTTGTGTATATCAAATGTATGCCGGTTTCCTTCTGGCAGTTTTCAGTGGACAGTCCTTTTATTTAGTTAAAGTTATTAACTGAATGTTCCTGAGAGACATCCATTCAGTGTCTGTAACAATTATCTAATAAGAAATCTTATAAAGTACAGTAAGATAAATAATTTTCAGTCACACTCAGAATTTAAGATCATGACAGTTGATTCATCAGAGATTACAGGCAGTTATTAAAAACAGATGGTCTTGTTTTACCTTTCTGAATCCCTGGTTATTAGCTAATAAGCTTAAATAGACTAATATTCTAACATTAACTTAAAACCAAGATATTACCTTTAAAAAAAAAAAGTTTCCAGAGGGATAAAATGCAGGTTTGGTCACTGAAATATACACCTTCAACACACAGTTGGGACAACAACATGCATGCATTCAGTATTCATTTGATTTTTATTTACCGCTGAATCTGAGGCAGATTCTGACCTCCGTCCTACCCATAGATAACGGATAGATTTATTTCACTAGAAACCCCATGAATTTATTTCACTAGCCTGAATTTGATTTTAGCTTTATAATTCAGAGTTTGGGCTTTTATTATCCAGGCGTGTTTTACCCATATCAATCTATTTCACTTTCACACAACAGAACTACATTTGCCTTGTATGTAAGTACTTATAAGTTCATATACTGCCTGTTTTAACTTATCAGCTGATGTGGAAATACAGAGCAATTAGATATACCGGCGGCTTCCGACGCTTCCTGAGCAGCACCCTGTGAACCCCATGCCACCACTGCAAGGGCACCATCCAGCCCCGCCCCAACAACTGAGGGAGGAAAAAGACATAAGCCACTGGCAAAACAGAGCTGTCACTGCAGCTGCTTTAGAAAATTCCAGTTTTCTGCCAAATGTTTTCAGCTGAAAACTTTCTGACTTTGCATTTCAGCCAACTGTGAAACTCCCCCACACAAAGCCACTTTCTGAATTGTTCTACTGAGGGAAAAATTAGTAAAAGCATTGTTTCTGGCTTCCACTTTGTGTGGATATTTATACCTCTGGAAGTTAGTGCATACTAATATGCCTGAGGAAATTTTTCCCCTTAGTACTTTTTTTCAGTTTGCCTTACAGAGACCTTAATCTGTTCCTTGCTAACTCATTCCCTTTGAAATAAAGTACTTGGAGATTCCCCCACCACCCCTCTGAGTTGCTGCAGCAGCAGAAAATTGTTGGTTTTAACTCCAGCAGCCAGTGGGGGAAGCTTAAAACATGAAACAAATGGAACTATAAGCAAAAATGAAGGGGTATAAAAAGAATCTTAATAAATGTTTTTATTATCTTTTGGGGGGGTTGAGTCAGGATCTTGGAATGAATGAGGTCAGTAATAATAGTAAAATATTTCATTTTCACTCTATTTAGAGGACCGGAAAATTTTCAATTCTAGTCCTACCAGACCAGAGCTGCTTGATACAAGTTACTACTTTTCTGCACTTAAATACGTGAGATTTCTGAAGAAGCTTTAGAATGGTAGTACAAAAATTATTTAAAGCACTTAAAAGATGTTAGAAATAAAATTATATATGTAATTATATATAATTTATAGATACTTACATTATGCTTATAGTAATGCATGCCTATATGTTATACATATAGGTAAATTGTACATTTATACTAAAATATCGTAGCTATTTGTATCTACTTAAGGGGAAGTTACCATAATCTGATCTATAACCTGTAAGAGTATCTTGGATTCCACCTAGGTGTATAGAAAATAACTAAAGATGGTATCACAGTTATGTAAGTGTCACAGTCACAGTGGAAATGCAGGAACACAAACGTTCACTTCCACAGCACCGATATAGAAGGTTTTAACTTTTAAATTTTTTTTCCCTAGATTTCTGATTTTTGAAATGAGAAAGAAATCCCAGGGATATAGGAGAAATATACTCGAAGTCTCTGGCTGCTGTGGAAGAGAACCGGCAGAGGATCACAAGGATGTCATCGTGCCAGAGTTGCTACTTGACTCCTGCGCTCTGGTCACTTGCTGTAAATGCATTCTGCAGTACAACCCATCACCACCCGAAAGCGGTGGTGTAAGCTGTGACAGTGCAGACGACCACGCTGAGGTTCACAGTGTCAGTTCAGAAGTGGTGGGTAGGAAACAGTATATGCCAGGCCTCCATGCAGTAATTTACACCTCTGAGCATTCAGACGTTCCACGTCTGTTTGTATTTATTCTAACTGCCTGGTTGACATAGTTGACCTACCTGAATAACTCATCTCTCAAGCCAAATGCAATACTGAAGCATAAAGTTTAAAAGAACAAAAGCTCCAGAGATACTCAAGTTAGTAGAGTCTTTAATTATGGGTCGTAAAGAGAACCTCTTTCTCTTAAGCAAGGGGGGCCTTGCTTTGCTGGTAACTGCTGAAACACATTCCTTAAGCCTGGGAGAGCCTTCAGCTGAGCTAAGTGTGCTGTCAATTCCAAGCTGCTTTTCCACTGCCAGAGTGTTCCTATACAGAGCTATGATGAATGCAAACCCAGGTACTCTCACCACAGTTTCTGGTGCCTGGTGATTTGTACCTCCAGTAGCACACATGTGAAATCAAGGCTGTGAGCAACCCACGGGCAGCAGCTACAGGCGTCACACCTCACCTCTCGATGTGGAGTGGCCGGGGAACTAGTTGATACTTTTCTATTCTCAGATGATTCATCTCCTTTTACAGATATTAAATTCTGTGGTGTAATTACTAAAAAGTCTTTCACAATTTTCTTGCTCAGAGATGAGTACTCAAATCATCTGGGATTAGGCTACAATTAATTATGAACAGCCTTCCTTACAAGCACATCCACTTTCATGAACAAACCTAGGTTGTGCAATAGTTTTTGCTCCTCACAGCTGTATCACTTACGGTTGGGCTAATCAGGCTTCACTTAGTGGGCCCCTTCCATCATTGCGCAAATGGGTCACTGCAATGTCTTCGAACGTAGGCTGCCTTCTGCATTATTCCTAGGCAAAAGAAACACTTAAGATGTCAGAGCTCTGCTGTAATGGGGCATGGCATAAGCCCCAGGCTCCGGGTACACTGTTTTTACAAAGGACTATATAATGCCACAGTCTTGAATTGCAGTGTCTAGTATTATCTTCAAACCGTGTTTAAGAAAAATAATAGCTAAAATGCTGCAGAGGGGATTTAAGACACCATCATTCTTTACAAGGTAGGAAACATACAGGTTTATTATATAGATTTATATAGTTTAAAAATGCTTCTGTAAATAGATCATAGGACTGCTCTTTGTGAGAACATACAGTATCTCAGAAGGAGCAATACATAGATATCCACTGAAGCAGAAGCCAAGCGTTGTTTACATAACTCCCCCCCAAAAAAAAACCCAAAGACTCACTTTCACTCAGCGTCATACAGCTGCAGAGATTGTGCTTTTGCAGAAAGCGCAGTGGGGGGGGAGGATTAAAAGCCAGGCAGTTGGGTTTTTTCCCCCTTAATGCTCCTTAATTTTTGTCTCGTCCTGCCCTCTGGTGGGAGCACAGGCTGCGGGTCTGCTGCTTTCACAAAGGCACATTCACACAGCATAACCCCAAATTACACTGCATTTCTTATACAGCTATTTGTGAAAAAGAACGTGTATGCCTTAACACAGGACTTAATGAGATACTAAGGGAAATGCAATATTATTACTATTTAATAAAAGGTTGTGTGTTGATTTACCTAAAAATGAACAAAGCACCTGCCCAATTTTCACAATGTTGCAATAAATAACCTTTCAATTCTAGATAGATATTTAATAGTCACAACTAAATGAGAATGGCTAGTAAAAATACATATATACACATACAATGTTTATTATGCAACAGCGTTTTAGTAAGAGCTCAAGATACAGCATCATCTATAGCATAAGAAAAGTTTGCTTATTTACAGATTACATAAATTCCTTTTTTCATTTCTAGAACGATCAACAAAGATGACCCACAGTAGGTCACAGCTTGGTAGCTGAAAGGGTACTTTAGAGCTAACAGGTAGGAAGGACAAAAGCAGAATCAAGGGCTTTAAAAATGTTAACACTTGTCATCCATTTAACTGCTGCAATTCCGTTCTCACTGAATGATTTCTTCTAAGAGTTACAAAATAAGATACTACCAGCAAAGACAGTTGCTAATTTTAACCTCTTCAGCACATTCACCCATGTTTAGATTATTTTTGACACTTCTGTACTGCAACCTCAATTCCTTCATCTCATTTCAGCTCAGAACACTTCTGTATACTCATGAACTCCCTCCGGCAGCCAGGTCACCCACTGGCATTCCAGCTTTCTCCTGCCCTGAGCCCCGGGTGCTGCAGACTCTAACAGCTCTGATCTTGTCTGCACTAGAGCTGTAGCCCAGGTGGGGAAAATCGCTCAGCCCCACTCAGTTCACTGGAGGTTTGACAGTGAAAACGCCAGCACCGCAGTCTCTGAACACCCCAGAGCCTTTGGGGCAACAGTATTGGCAAGGGCTCGCTGTCCCCACAGTAACAGCAAGACCGGGGTGTGACACTGGCGTACACTCACCTCCCCAGGAACCACCACAGGCCTCTTGGTAAACCAGAACGGTCTCAGCGGCAGCCAGAGCCCTGTCCACCTCACTTGCTTCAGGTGTGTCTGCCTTCATCATCCATCCAAAAAACAGGTGGATTCTTACACCTTTCCTTGGTTTACTGCTGCGGAGAGCAAGAGTTACTTTTTAACATGTATATATATGCCAGCTGATAAAAAAGCTCAGTCCTGCTCTCAGCCCCACAATAGAAATCAGAAGTAACTCTAGAGGCATACGTGAGAACAAAACACTAAAATACCAGAAAATATCAGAAACCAGAGTGGAGGCTTTATGATTTCCAGATGCATCGTGGCCTTGATTCTCAGCTGGTACAGAGCAGCATAATTTCCACTGCCTTCAGCTTAACTGCTTTGCACTCACCAAGAATCCAGCCACATGTGACAGTTTGGGGCAAAGGGAGATTAGACATTTCATCACAGTTACATAACAATTTGCCTAAGCTGTGAATTTGCAGGTTGCCATCAGACTGGTCTATCCTGCCAAAGGCATGTGAAAATGCCCCGGGCTACGCGACACAGAATTACACAATGTCCCTGACTGATCAAAAACACGGTAAATAGGCTGAAGATGAAGATGAAGATGAACTGCCAGCTGCAGACTAAACCCAGGGTGTTTAGAGAACCATTTCTCATGACTGTGTATTACCATAGGACAACTTTCTCTCTACTTACCCATCCAACCCAGACTAATTTGCGCTCAGGCATTTAGGGATTATATGTCTTTATGAACCCCAGGTACTAGGGTACATAGGGCTGTGTTTTCGGGGCCGTTTGATGGCTTATTTTAATAATGCTCTAACCACGCAATTAAAACCTGATGAGATCTCAGTTTGGTTAAGTTCAGTTAAATTGCCAAGGGTACAAGTAGGTGCTATAAAGTCTAATTAAAAAAGAGAGCTCTCACTCTGTTTACATTGAAACACAGAAAGGATTCTGGTTCCTCTCCAGTGACTATAATTGATTTAGTCCCTGATTTATACAAATTTATATTCTAAATAATTCAGATGAGGACCTGATTCTACAATCCCTGTTTGTGTCAAACAGGGTATACCCAGGTGAATAACAACATTGATTTTAATATTCTAACTGCACACAGGAAATAACTAAGTAAATAAATAAGCAGGAAGCTTTGCAAAGTGAGAAAGTATCTTATTTTTTGTGGTACTTTGGATTATAAAACAGTACTTTAAAGTCGTTTGGTCAGGCCATCCAACCCATAAGCAGTTTTCTTGACAGGCTCAGGGAAGAGGCAGATAGCCAAGCCCTGCCTACTCCCAAATGGCCTGCAAGTCGGAGCAATTTTCCCAAAGCAAGATAGAGATAGCACAAGTCTGCCCCACCTCTAGGCCATGGAAAGGACCCCTCAGCAACCAGCCTTGGCATTAAGTTCTGCAGAAGCTGCAGAATGGAAGAAATTCCCACCTAGCAAGCTCCGGGGCTTTCATGACCATTTTGTGTAACACCTCTCCTTTTACCTGCTGTGATGCTCCAAAGTTTTTGCTCCAAAGCCCACACAGATTTGAAGCCAACTGCAGGAGGTGGCAAAGGCTTTGGACATAGTTCCCCAGCTTCACATCTTGGGGTTGCTGACCAGGAGAGCTCACTTCTTTCATCAAACCAAAAGATACAGCTGGAAAAAAAAGGACAATTTTTCAAGACACGTGGTACTTAACAGCTTTTCTGTGCCCCAAACCTTTTTCCAACCAACTGGTCTGTCTAGTATAAGGTATCACCTCTCCCTATCCATCTTGCATACTCACCAAGCACTTAAAGTTATCTGAATAAAAGAAAACCTCTGGCATTAGAAAACACAGTAATTCCCTTAACAGATAGGAGTGGTTGGTACATGTGTCTTGGCTCTGGCCAGTTTTTTGCTGCAGACTGCTCAGGATCCCCCCTCAACTAAGTAATGTGTGGCAAACTCCTTGCAAAACTTGTATCATCTGCTCCCTTTCACTAACATCACACAGAATGGTTTCTATAGCCTCGCAAACTCGTTCCCTCAACCAATAACGGGGGAAGAGGGAAGTGAACCTGAAGTAGGCAGATATTTCAGTGATCTTGTAAGAAGTGTGAGGAAATCTACACAAGAGATTACTTCAATATAATGACGAAACAGCTTCCATACAACCATTAAGTGTATGAGTGTATTCTCTGAAAGACGTGCTGCTTGGCAGTCCCAGTCATCCCACTGTGATTCCATTAGGGGACTTGCTCTTTTTGCCCTGGGTGCAGCCAGCATAAGTTACCTGACCTCCCAGACAAGACTTTAAGCTGCTTAAAGGAAAGCAGCAAAGTACATGTCACAAGTACAAAAAAAATTTTCAGCGCTTCCCAGTATTAAGTACAGCAGAAACCATCAATATTCCTCTGTGCACGCACACAAGAGAGTACCAGCTGTCTGGACAGAAACAGAAAACTAAATTCCAGTTGTGCAAATTTTAAAAATCCATTTGAGCTCACATTCTGTAAGGCTGCTTCAGACCTACCATGTTGTACTGCACAAAATACATTGCAAATATTTGGTTTTGCTATAAAAAGAAACAAACTGTGGCTAATGATGGCACTGCCTTTGGAAAAGGAAACAGAGTAAGAGGGAGGCTGACAGGGCTGCCTGTACTCTGCCCAGTGACTGGAAACTGTAACTAAGGAACATACCTTGCTTCTAGCACAGGGCTCTGATTTGGTTTTTCATTGCTGACTGTGGTCTGCAGCGGGGCCCTGGCTCTCTGCAGCCTGACTGGCAATGCAGTTCACCTTCTGCAAAAGCTCCCTGCAGAGATTTTGTTGCAACGCTTAGTGGGGATGGTCAGGTTTTCCATGTCTTCAGACCCCAGTCAAATGCTTTAAGCATTATAACCAAAAAGTGACTGACCCACTTAGAGAACTAAATATTAATAGTTGTATATTTTCTGTCTCCTAAGCAACTACTCTTCTCTGCTTTCTTGTTTCAGAAGATCTCAAATACAAACACACACATGGAAAGATTAAGGCAAAAATTTATATATTATTTCCCTCAGAAAGATATGTTCTCTCCCCTACCTGAGATGCTTTTTGCCATGGCTTGTAACCAGCAAACACTAGAAAGACATTTGCATCACTTCACTGGAGATATGTGAGGGAAAATGCTGGCTTGCCTTGGGGAGCTCTCATCCCATTCCCATCATGGAGCTCTGCTCCGGCGCCTGAAGCGACGCCTCCTTCCCCCCTCCTTCTTCAACCTTGGGGGTCGCGGGGCTGTTTCTCACACTTTTGTTTCCTCACTCCTCACCACCTTTGTGGCATCTGGCCCTTTCTTAAATATGCTTTCAGAGCCGTACCGCCAGCCTGGCTGAGGGGCCCGGCTGCGCCCTGCAGTGGAACCGGCTGGAACCGGCCGGAACCGGCCATGCCCAGCCCAGCCTCCCCTCACAGCAGCCACCCCCGCGGTGCCAGCGCCTCGCCACAGACACCCAGCACGGAGAAACCCGGTAAGGAGAAAATTCAGGACGTTTTCTGGAATCCAATGAGGTGAAAATCGCACCGCTCCGGGAATGACAGCAGTTTGCTGGTGTTCCTTGACCAAAAGTGCTATTTTGCCTCACTCGCAGAAGGGACTTTGTTTTAGCAGTTGTCTGAAATTTGTGTGATCCCTTACGGTCCGAGCAAGCAGAAATTGAATTCTCCTTAGTGAAATGAGTCATTGCAATCTTCCACTCACACCCATAATCACATCCATGCCTGGCTAACTATTTGAGCTGGTCAAAATTACGATGAAAGAAATATACTATCAGCTAAAAAAGCGCTTGCATGAGACAACTGAACGGATTTTTGAGAAATAGAGCCATTCCCAAGAGGCAGCTGTAGTGTCTGTTAGCAGCTAAAGTTGAATTGAAATTTCCAACATGGTTCTTCTAAAACATAGTTTTTACCCCAAAAGAGACTGCAAACTGTTCGCTTTTTACCTTAATTCAGGATGAAAAATATTCTTTAAAGAAAAAAAAAAAATCACTTGAATGTTTTCCTGGAGGAAAATTCCATTTCCCAACTGCCCTCCTAACTCCTTTGAGCAATCTCTCTTTGCAAAAGCACTTTTACCAAAGCTCTTCCAGTAGGGAATATTTTCTGAAATACATTTGAAAGAGACATTCACCACCCAAAAGACGCAAAGGCGCATCTTCGCTTCTCCCAGCAAATAATGTAACTCTCCCCCTCAGACCAGCCAAACACAAACGCACTTTAGCAGAGCAGCAGACAAGATGGCCGCCGCCCCTGCCCCCTGCTTTTCCAGCACGGCCTGCTGGGAAAACGCTCGCTGCTCGCTTAGAATCATAGAATAGAATCATAGAATCAGTTAGGTTGGAAAAGCCCTTTAAGATCATCAAGCCCAACCGCCCCCCTACCCCTGCCATCCCACCCCCAAACCCTGGCCCTCAGCACC